ATTAAACGCGGAAACGCTTCAATATGTGGGTAGATTTCGCGGGCATACAGACAAAGTGAACGCGGTTGATTTTTGTGACAACCTTTGTGCTAGTGGAGGTGCCGATACTACAATAAGATGTTGGGATGTGCTATCTCAAAAACAAACTGCTATTTTGACGCATCATAAGGTACAAATGTTACCATGAAACTGTTCGTAATTAATCTATCTAACGCAGATTTTTGACGCGCTTTCCTTAAATATATCAAATGTTTGTAATGCTAGAGTGAAATTTATGCTTTGGCATGGATGAAAGACAAAAAATTTATAGTATCAGGTGCAATATTTGCAAATTTTAACGTGCTTTTAGAGTATGAAATATTTTTTATGTATTTATTAAATATTCCAATTATAGGGGATAAATCTGGTGATATTTCTATATGGAATCCATCTAAAAACAAGTCCAACAAACTTTATATTATTCAGTCTCCAATATATAATATTGCTCCATCACCTACAGTTGAGAATTCACTAGCGATTGGGTAAATATTCATATATTTTTACTCCCTTTTCAAACAATGAATATTCAATTTTTTTTTTTTCTGTAGTTTTCAAAATGGTGCTATAATTGTCGTGAAAGTTGATTCCGATTTGAATGGAAGGATAGCGCGTCGTTTAAAAGGACATGATTTTGAAATTCAAAGCCTTTCATGGGAATTACCAAATGGTATTTGATCTCTAATTTATTAAGGTTCATCCGCTTAAACATCGCACATAATTTACGTTATATCATAGGAGATTGCCAAAATGCAAAATATACATTTCTTGCTTCTGGATCACGAGATAAAACTGTACGTATTTGGAATGTTGAAGAAGAGAATTCAATAAAGACAATTAATTTACCCCAGCCGATGCACCATCTCACTGATCAACAAAAATCCAGGTTATGGGTTGCTACAACATGGATTCCGGAACGTAATAGTGTGATTACAAGCTCATATATGTTTGTATACTGTTTACAGAACCATTTACTTTTTTCTGTATGTAGGGTTCATAATATATATTTTCTCACCCCACCTGGTTATCATTCCATTTATTTTTGAACACTTAAAGGGGCAATTTACTTTTATGGGATTTAAATGTTTCAACTACGAAATATCAAAAATTTTTGAGTGGCCATTCTCGAAGTGTTTTTTCGATTATAATGTTCACATGTGGTACGAAAGCTATAACAATCTCAATGGATCGAAAGGTATTTTTGTTGATCGGTTTATACATTATTTCCCTTAGATTATTTATAATTCATTCATTGTTCAATTTCCAGATCATTCTTTGGGATATCACCCAAAAGAAGCCGATTTTTACTGTTTCATGTATTCATAATTACGTTAATGATATCGACCTTTCAGTAGTGGACCCACATAGGCTTGCTATTGCTAGTGGTGATAACAACATCCGTGTATGGGATATTGCAAATAAAATTGATCCATTTAGCTGCACTTTGTATTGGAAGGGCTTAAAAAATAAAATTACAAGAGTAAATATTTAACTATCCTTTTCAATATCATCACAAAACTTAATAATATCATGATTTTTGCATTTAGATAAAATGTCATCCAAGTCGAGAAGGGTTCCTGGCATTTGGAACTGACCTGGGTAATATTGGCTGGTATGAAGTATATAACGACAAATCCAAGACCTTCAATTCTTATCACAAGAACAAGGTCTATTCTCTCCATTGGTGTAAACCTGAATGGTTAGGTATAGGCTCAGCCAATGAGGATTCAGGCGAGAGTTTGATTATTAGCTGCGGTGGTGATGGTCAAATACTATTAAGTGATACTACGAAGCCAAAACAATCTATGAACGTTAATGAAATGATAAAAGAAGCAAATCCAGAGTGGACTGCAGTTATGAAGGTAATTTCTAATGATACGTATAATACCTGTTTATAACTAGTAATATTTGAATAAACTATCTATGGTTTAGGATAAATCTGGACATCTACCAAAACGTAGCGAAGTAGCGGTTCATCCAGCAGGTAGATTTCTCGCTATTGGTAATGTCGATGGTAGTATCGAAGTTTATAATCTACCGTCTTTTAAGATCGTTTATCATAATATCGGCCATCGATCCATAATTAATAAACTTGAATGGTGTCATTTGGGTACGTTATTATGATGATTTTTTTGAGGTTCAATTACTCGGTAGTTTTATTGATTTTCAATTGTAGATGACACAGGAAATTCATATTCACTTGCATCTGGCGGAGATGATAATTTGATTATGGTTCATGATTTCTCTGATTTAAATAAATTGATTTCCACAAGTAACTAAAATTTCGTTTTATAGTTTAGCGTGATTATTATTATTATTATTATTTATTTATTTATTTACTGAATTTATTTATAATGGCTTAATGTTTTTTAGTTACTGTACCAACTTCTTCATGCAAACAAGTTCTTGAAATGCACCGAAAAGGAATAACTGATTTATCTTGGAGTCCTCTCGATGCTAATAAATTAGTCTCTTCATCGTTTGATGGCACAGCAATTGTATTTATTAAAACTATATACTATGCTAGTGTTTCGGGAGAAACTACTTTTGAGTTTCGCCCTATAAGTCCTAAACTAGTTTCGCCCAATCTTGATAAGCAAAATTGAGTTTCACCCGAAACACTTTACTGTACACATAAATATATATATGTTTCATACTAAATATGTAATTAATATTTGTCAGGTATGGAATCTACAAAGTGGTATTCCAATTTCTGTGTTTCGTGGCCATTATGGTCGGATATTATGCACAACATGGAGTTTGGAAGATGAAGACATGGTTTTTACGGGTGGAGACGATGCTATATGTTTTTGTTGGAGTATATCTGAAAATTCATATGAACACTATAAAGGTATTACCTAATTTTATTTTTTATTTTTTTACGGGCAGAAAGAAGAGATAATTATAATGATTTATTTTTATTACGAATAGAAATAATAGATTTAAGTTTAGAAATCAAAAGCAATATCACTCAGTCTGATGATGTATTAGAAATTGCTATGTCCCAGCCATTAGAAAAAACTATTTCAATGACACCTGAAAAAACAGAACATACAGCAACAAATATTGCAATAGATGCACCGGAACCTATACAAAAAGTTGAAGTTCGCACATCCAAAAAGAAAAAGCTTAAAAACATTTTACCTTTGGGTACGTCTCCATCTCGACGAAAAAATCTTCAATATAGCACTTTTGATATTGCAAGAAAACTGTATGGTGGTGATATTACGAAGGCAATGGAATTTTGGACAGATAATGAACATAAAACGCAAAAGTCTATCGATGAAAGCGAAAATATTGATATGCAAACACCGTCATTTGTCGACTTATTTTTTGGTGAAGGAAATAAATCACGGAAGCTAATTGAACAAGAAAGTAATTGCACCAATAATATAATTATTAATTTATATTTTTTATCATCATCAAACATATTCTAAATCTATTATAAATTTCTATTAATACATTCAGTCAAGTCGCATAATAGTTTAGGAATTTCAATGGGTTTAGGAGGTTTAGAAGTCGACCCTGCTTTACCTTTGCAAGTATGGTCTAATAATTTTGCTGAGTTGATTAAACGTTGTGAAGATAATGAAGAATTTTCAAATAAAGATTGGATACTTCTTGCTCTTAGTCCATTAGGTATTTCATTATTCCTAAGTGACTGATATTAAAAACTTAAATTCTACTGACTCCTTCATTTATATTTTATATAGCTGGCCGAGACGTATGGCAATCCTTGATGCGTCTTCAGGCTGAGAAACTTGCAACTAAAAACGACCGCCATGGTGCTGTTCTCTGTTGGTTGGCATGTGGAGAAGTCTATGAGGCAATTGAAGTTTATCGCAAAGCTGAAATGTATCGGTAAATAAATTAGTTTTTTCAAAACGAATGTAATCGACCTCCATAATCTCATAAATTTATAATTGTAGTGAAGCTATTGCACTAGCAAAAGTTCGTCTGATCGATGAAGATCCTATTTTTTCGGATTTATACTGTTTATGGGCTATCCAACTAGAAAAAGAAGAGGCTTACGAACAGGCTGCAATGTGGTACTTGTGCTTTAACATTTTAATTTACCTTAATAATAGTTACTTTGTTTTTTTAATAATGTACCTGTGTATGGCCAGCCATTTAGCTGCGAAAAAAGAGAATTCTATTCATCATGCGTTAAACGTTTTGGCACGTCGTGGTGATCCTTCAGCATTACGTACTGCAGCTAGTTTAGCATTAATGCTTGGAGATTCATCTGCCGAAGAAAGAATATCGAGATATTTGGAAGATCAAGAAATAAGAAATTCTAAAAAAACTAACCACGTAGAATCAGATGTGAAACAAAACGAAGAATAGGATATATGCATGCATGCTAAAATAAAAAGCAAATTTTTTTTTTTTTTTTACCTATCAATATTAATGCTGTATGAATTTTGGTTAGTAGTTATATGGGATTAAAAAGGTCTTATGGCATTGTTTGCAAAAATGAGTCAAATACATTATTATATAATACAAGTATTCTTCGATATTATTAGTCATTAAAAGTATCGATTTATAAAATAAAATATTTTCCCGATCCCACGATTGGGATGTGTTCTAAAAATAGATATTATTTAATCCGATTGTCAGGAAGATATTTATGTAATTGGTTAATTTATGATGATTAGGGTTCGAGGCACGGGCAGTGTTGAAATTTGATGTTCTCGTATTCTCATAGAACATCTTACATAATTAATTTGAATAAACTCAATATAAATGAGAACATTTTTTTAAAAAATGAGAAAATTGATTTTTAATAATAGGTCTACTGCACCTAGGGATGTGAAAAGTCCGGTCCGGTCCGACTCGACTCAAGAAGTCGAGTTTTAATTTGTACTCGGTCCCAAGTCATGCTTGGGACCGAGTCCTTATAGTCAATGAAATATTTGATAGATGGCA